GCCAAGGTTGCAGGATTAATCTCTGCTCATGTCACACACAATAATCAACCAATGAATGCATAAATAAATAGAACAACAGCCGAAACCAGTTTGGCTCAGTGGTAGAGTCGGTCTGCGGACTGAAAGGTCCCAGGTTCGATTCCGGTCAGGGGCATGTATTGTATCTGGGTTGCGGGCACATCCCCGGTAGCGGGTGTGCAAGAGGCAGCTGGTCGATGTTTCTCTCTCATCGACGTTTCTAGCTCTCTATCTCTCTCCCTTCCTCTCTGTAAAAAAATCAATAAAATATATTTTTTTAAAAAAACAGAACAACAAATCAATGTTTCCCTCTCCCTTCTTCTCTCTCTCTTTACAATCAATAAGAAAAATTAAAATAAAATAATCTCTGTGTCTTTGAGTTTGCTTCTGATTTATTCATTATTTTGTTTTTAGATTCCACATATAAATGAAAGCATATGGTATTTGTTATTCTTTTTCTCATTTATTCCATTTAGCATAATTCCCCCTAGGTTCATCTGTGGTCAGAAATGGCAAGATTCCATTCTTTTTTATGGCTGAGTAATATTCCATTGTATAAATGTACCACCTTTTCTTTATCTATTCATCTATTCATGGACATTTAGGTTGCTTCTTTGTAAATAAAGATGCAGTGAACAAATAGATGCACATATCTTTTCAATTTAGTGTTTTGGGCCTGACTGCTGTGGCTCAGTAGTTGAGTGTTGATCTATGGACCAGGTGGTCATGGTTCAATTCCCAGTCAGGGCACATGCCTAAGTTGTGGGCTTAATCCCCATTGTGGGGCATGCAGGAGGCAGCTGATCAATGATTCTCATCATTGATGTTTCTCTCCCTCTGTCTCTCTGAAACCAATAAAAATATCTTTAAAAAGTAGTGTTTTGGGTTTCTTTGGCCATATACCCAGAAGTGGAATTGTTAGGTCCTTCTTTGTTTCTTATTATAGCCTTTTTTTTAAAGTCTATTTTGTCTGATATAGGTATTATTATCCCAGCTTTTTAAAAAATTTGCCTTGGCGTAAAATATTTTTCCCCATCCCTTTATTAGGATAAAAAAATTTTTAAATATAGTTTTATAAAAAATATTAGAAAAAAAGTTAATTTTAATTTGGAAACAAAATGTTATATGCATTAAAAGTGGTGCTTAAATATTATTTTCAGATAGTTATAAGTTGGGCAAAAGTAGGTTTACAGTTGTGAGTATGTGAAACACTTTATTCTTGTATTATTACTTATTTATTAGTAATAAACATAACCTGTATGTCTTTTTCCATCTGAATAGCTCTAAACCTACTTTTGCCCCCTGCCCCTCCCCCCGTATATGTATTTAATGTTCCTTCTCTGTGATAAACTGAGAATGAAAGAAGATATTGAATCAAAGAACATGGTAAAAAATGACTAGGATCAGAAAACCCTGGGAGACAAAGGAAAATTAGGAGCACTTCATTCCAATTCCTTCAAATATGATCCCTGTTTTATCTGTCACATTAGCAACAACATATAAGTGTTCAGTTTTAGGCTCAAGGAAATGAAGCTAAAAATAAATTTCCAGGAAAACTTAATAGATGGAGTTGATTCCCAGATTGATTCCCAGTCAGGACATATGCTTGAGTTGTGGACTCCATCCCTGCATTGTACCCTGTAAGTTTTATGGAAGAAATTACCCCTCCTTAAGAAAAGGAATAAAATGTTGTTCTGTTTCTAACTCACTCACTATAAATCACTTTGGAAGCAGAGGCTTGCCGAATAGATGTTCCCCAACAAAATGAATTGCAAAAAGGCTGAACTGTTTGACTGAAATAAGAAGATGAAATTTTCAATTATTTGCTGAAGCTGCATTCACAGCATAACAAAAAACATTATGGCCAGAAGAGAAGTACTTTCAAGACTCAGTGTTCTTTCACTAATATAAATAACTCCATTTCGGCAGTTCTGATCATTTGGAATCCAACAAAGAACAGAACATTGTCACTAACATCCGCTGTAATAGAAAGTCAGCAGTGTCAAATTTTCTTCTTTGAAGCACTGACCTAGATGCTTATGTGATGTTCCTAGGATTAGTCACTTTTCAGCTTGTGAACTTTCTTAGATTAGTTCAAAGTTGCAAGGAGTTTCTATCTGGGATTGTTTCTTGGGGCTTTATGCAGAGTAGATTTTAAATGGAGTTAGTCTCTCCCCTCCCCCCAAAAGAGTTGAGGAATCCAAAACTTGGGCAAGATGAGTAGGGAGACCATTAAGAAGGCTGTTGTGCCCAGTCAGTGTGGTTCAGTGGTTAAACATCAACCAATGAACCAGGAAGTCACAGATTGATTCCCAGTCAGGACATATGCTTGAGTTGTGGACTCCATCCCCAGTAAGGGGTGTGCAAGAGGCAGCTGATCAATGATTCTCTCTGATTGTTGATGTTTCTATCTCTCCCTCTCCCTTCCTCTCTGAAATCAACGAAAAGAAAAATGAAAGAAGGTTGTGATCATGCGATCATGTGATCAAAAGAAGGTTGGGCCAGGGTAGTAAAGAGTAATAGATAGATTAAACGTATACTTTGGAGTCAGAAATAACAGACTTTGTTAAAAAGAAAAGTCAGGAGTGACGACAAAATTTTAGGTTAGAATAATTAGATAGGAGTGGAGCCATTTATAAAGCTGGTAAATTGAGAGATCTGAAAAGAAAAATAGAAGTTGAAGTTAATATTATGTGACTCTGTGCATAAGAAAATTTAAAATACTTTCAAGTAAAGCACCCTCAAGTCTTTGCTTTTGAAATCATGTTCTAATTTTTTTTCCCTTGGTACAGTATGGTTTTGGTGTATTCTTCATACCTCTTAAATTATTTAATGCTTTGAAAGTTCTATAGATAATCATAATAAAAGATAAAATATTCACTATTCACTCATTTCAAATGAGTTTATCTTTTGTGAAGATTAGAAAAAAAATTTAGATAATTTTTTCAGCCTTTCCCCAATTTCCATGATTTTTCAAATAAATACAATGCTTTTATAAATCACTTTTTAAGATAGTCACTATTAGTTGGTTTGGCAATGCTAAGCAAACTCATATAACATTTAAAGGGGGGGGGCAAAGGGAGGGAGAAAGACTAGTTTTTCCCCCTTTATTGGTTAAGGTATTACATATCGATATGTGTCCTTATCCCCCATTCCCCCACACACACTCATACCCTCCCCCTCCCCTCCCCCTCCCCTCCCTCTTTCCCCCCACCCCGGTATCTGTGTCCATTGATTAGGCATATATGCATGCATACAAGCTCTTTGGTTATTCTCTTTTTTTCCCCACCCTCCCCTACCTTCCTTCTGAGGTTTGACAGTCTGATCAATGCTTCTCTGTCTCTGAATCTTTTTTTGTTCATCAGTTTATTCTACAAATGAGTGAGATTTATTCTACAAATGAGTGAGATCATATGGCATGTATCTGAAAAAGACTACTTTAAAATTAACTTTAGATGTTCATTCATTCAAACAAAAGATAATAGTGACCTCTAGTGTTCATTGGGAGTATCTGAAATTTACCCGACCTACAGCTATTGAATGTACTTAGCATAGAAATGAATAAGGAGGCAAGTGAAAAAGGTCATTGTAGTAACTATGGTAATGATTAAAATGGGTGCATAATTTCTGAGAGCTCAGAGCCCCTAATCTGATTTCAAAAATTGAGGAGTAAAATCCTGAAGTAACTACCTCCTGAACTAATACGAAAAGGGGGGGGGGGAAGAGGGGGGAATCACAGGTGTCAGGGTGGAAAGAGCATTGCCATCAAAAAACAAACAAATATACAAAAACAGCAGCGTGAGTCAAGGTAGAAAACTAAGTAATGGATTACACTGCAGGACAGTTTCAACTGCACCAGCATAAAACAAGTGAGTCTCAGGAAAGAAAACAGGAGAGGGAGGCAAAGCGAAGATCAAGCAGAGTTTATGCTTCCTACGTAACAGGAAGCCACCCTAGAGACAGCCTTAGGATTCATATAGAGAAGTAGCAGCCCTGGGGGGGAAGGAGGTAAGTAGTGACTAAAATTGGATGTTATTGTAGTAGATGATGCAACAGTGAGAAGAGAAGATGGATTTAATAAATAATTGGAAGACAAAAATCCATAATGCGGCTTGAGTGTGTATAAAACCTAATGCCAAGGAGAGAGTCAAGGATGTCACTTTCTTTTAAAGGTCAGATAGATCGTATGTTCATCAATTGATGCTTTTAAAGTATAAGAAAAAGAATATGGTTAGTAGGAAAGATGACATGTGAACTTTGAGGTGCATGGGAAACAGTAATGTGTCAATGCCACAGGTAATTGGATTTCCTGCTTTTGATCCTTTGAGAAGAGAATTAAGTAAGAGATATGAATTTACTTTTATTGATATCTGCATAGAGGTGGTTGCCGAAACAATAAAAGTGGATAAGATTTCCCAGAAAGGAGTATCTATATAATAAAAGCCCAGTGACCGTTATGGTGGAATAACCAGAACAATAATCACTATGACACGCAGTGACCACCAGGGGACAGATGCTCAATGCAGGAGCTGCCCCCTGGTGGTCAGTGCTCTCCCACTGGGCTCATGGCTGGGCTCATGGCTGGCAAGAGCAGTGGTGATGGCATGAGCCTCTCCTGCCTCCGCAGCAGCACTAAGGAGCTGCGAGCCAAGCAGTAAGGAGTGAGCAGGTGGGTGGTTAGAAGCAAAGGGTCCCAGATTGTGAGAGAGATGTCTAACAGCTGGGCATCCCCCAAGGGGTCCCAGATTGTGAGAGAGATGTCTAACAGCTGGACATCCCCCAAGGGGTCCCAGATTGTGAGAGAGATGTCTAACAGCTGGACATCCCCCAAGGGGTTCCAGATTGCGAGAGGGCGCAGGCCGGGCTGAGGCTCCCCTTTCCCCATATGAATTTCATGCATCGGGCCTCTAGTATAGTATACAACAAAAAAGAGCAATTTTTCAAGGTTGGATTTGTTTAGAATATATTAGAAAGAAAAGGTCGTTCTCACTTCTGCGGCACATACACTAAAATTGGAGCAATACAAAGAAGATGAGCATGGTCCCTGTGCAAGGGTGACACACAAATTAGTGAAGCGTTCCATTGTTTGTGTTATGCCTGGATGGGGCTGGGAAGGAATATGAGTCAAAACAAAATCAATTTGTGGCACTCATCAGAATTGTGACCTTTGCACTATAAAGATGTTTGTATAAGGCGAAGGAAGGAAGGAAGGAAGGAAGGAAGGAAGGAAGGAAGGAAGGAAGGAAGGAAGGAAGGAAGGAAGGAAGGAAGGAAGGAAGGAATTTATTCAATATCAAAGCATAATTGAATGAATGAATCAATATTTCCAAGGTTGTCTTTTGAGGTTGCCATTATTGTAGTATCAAATGAATATATATTACATTTATTTACTATATTAATCAGGACTGCTTCAACAAATAAATAAGGAACTTTAAATAAACTAGCATGGGTAAAAGACTTCCTTATCATGCAAATTGAAGTCTCAGGGAATTGACTACTCCAGGCACAGCTGAATCCAAATGCCATGTTTTTAGTGGGCTCTCTCCATGTCTAGAAGGTACTTGAGTATGTATTGACTTAATTTTCACACAGAGGCAAAAAAAGACTGTGGGATGAATTTGCATGTAAAACTAATGACAACTGAGGGGGGAAAAAACAACTCTCTTTGCCTGCAGGGTCTCATATCCACCTCCCTAAAAGAACTCTGATTGGTTTGATGTTGACACTGGTCATATGGTCAACCTCACCCGTGTCCATCTGGTTCAGGGCCAAGAGCCAGGCTCTCTGATGCAACCCTCAGCCTCAGACACCTCTCCTGGCAAAGAGTGTGTCCGCAGGCTTGGACACAACCAATCACTGTGTCCAGAAAGATGATATATTCTGATTGATCACCCTGGGTTATGGAACATGGTGATAACAGTAAAGCCATGTAGGTAGCTCTCTGAGAATTACATAGAAAGGTTGTTTCCTCCAGGAACTCATACTTTATTTTTTAAATACATTTTATTGATTTTTTGTTTGTTTGTTTGTTTGTTTTACAGAGAGGAAGAGAGAAGGATAGACAGTTAGAAACATCGATGAGAGAGAAACATCGATCAACTGCCTCTTACACACCCTATACTGGGGATGTGCCCGCAACCAAGGTACATGCCCTTGACCGGAATCGAACCTGGGACCCTTCAGCCTGCAGGCCGATGCTCTATCCACTGAGCCAAACCGGTTTCGGCATGGGACTAATACTTTAGCAATTAAAATAAATAGTTTGGATATGGGAAGAATATAGACGCTACAAAATAAGCGAAGACTACAAAAGGAACATCTTCTCATCGGAGAATGTTTCTTGAAAGTCATTTCATTTCAGGGTGTCCTGCCTAAAGAAGTTGATGTCCTTCATCCTTCAACCACATACACATTACCCAGGAGTGAGAAAGCTAAAGAAGTGGGGTGTTGCAGGTCTGGGTCACATCAGTGAGGTAAGCCAGCAGATAGACAACATTTATAAGCTAGAGAATACCTGCCCCAGACTGTTTTAATAGCTTAACAATAACTTAATAGCTATTTGGAGATCAGAAGAAAGGGTTGGTGTATGTGCTCAATATAGACATACTAGAGGCCCGGTGCATGAAATTTGTGAATGGGAGGAGGGGTTGTCCCTCAGCCCAGCATGCACCCTCTCCAATCTGGGACCCTCAAGGGATGTCTGACTCCTCGTTTAGACCCGATCCTGGTAGGATCAGGCCTAGTCAGGCAGTCGGACATCCCTCTCACAATCCAGAACTGCTAGTTCCCAACTGCTTGCCTGCCTGCCTTCTTGATTGCCCCTAACCGCTTCTGCCTGCCAGTCTGATTACCCCCTAACCACTCCCCTGCCAGCCTGATTGATGCCTAACTGCTCCCCTGCCAGCCTGATTGCCCTAACTGCCCTCCTCTGCAGGCTTGATCACCCCCAACTGCCCTCCCTTGCAGGCCTGGTCCCTCCCAACTGCCCTTCCCTGCTGATCATCTTGTGGCAGCCATCTTGTGTCCACATGGGGACAGCCATCTTGTGTGTTGGAGTGATGGTCAATTTGCATATTACTGTTTTATTAGATAGGATATACAGATTGTACTGTGGAATCTATTGCTGAATTTACATCAAGGGTTCCAGATCACAATATTACTCTCTGATAGATTTTTCTAATTCAACACCAATAAAATATTCAGCAGTGTAGCTTCTGCCTTTTGCCATGGACTATCTTGGTTTCATCGTCCAACACAATAGCATCCTAATTGCCTGTAGGTGGTGGGCAAGCCAGTCTCAAGTCTATATCTCACTGCCTGATTTCTTAGACCACTTTAGACTTTACCTGTGTTATTCCAGGTGCCCCCTCAAGCAGACACTGAGACTGGATTGAATATAAAAGCTTTTTATTGAGGGAAATATTTCATATAGCCATCATATCACACTGCAAGTCTGACCAACAGTGAAAGAGAGAAGGAAGGGAAGTTAGGTGTCATTTAGTCTAGGAAAGTTCAGAAAGGCCAACAAGGAGTCATCATCACAAAGTGAGCCATCAGCCGAAACCGGTTTGGCTCAATGGATAGAGCATCGGCTTGGGGACCGAAGGGACCTGGGTTCGATTCTGGTCAAGGGCATGTACTTTGGTTGCAGGCATATCCCCAGTAAGGGGGTGTGCAAGAGGCAGCTGATCGATGACTCTCTCTCATCGATGTTTCTAGCTCTCTCTCTCCCTTCCTCTTTGTACAAAATCAATAAAATATATTTTTAAGAAAAACAAAAACAAAGTGAGCCATCAGAGGATTCCTTAGAACCTGCTACTCTCAGGGTGGCACTGGCAGGCATCTGTGGGGAGTGTGGCCTTAGCACAAACATGGTGATGATTTCACAGGATGGCAGCTCACGTCCTCAGTCAGCTATGCTCCCGGTAGCTGGTGGCCTGAGAGGCAATTCTCATGGCCATCCCAATGAAAGACCATTACATTCTGCAAAGTGAATGGAAATAAGATTGCAAATAAAGAACAGTCTCTGAGATCTTTGGAACATTTTACATGATCTAAGACACATATAATTTGAATGCCAGAATGAGAAGAGAAGAGAATGGGACAAAAAAAGAACCAGGAAAAAAATAGTTGAAATTTTCACAAATTTGTGGAAATAGTTCACTTACCTATCCAAGAAGCTCAACACATTTGAAGCAAGATAAATACAAGAATATCACTAGTCCAACTACCAAAAGCTAAACTAAATAAATTACATTGAAAGCAGTCAGAGAAAAACATTACATACAGAAGAACAATGATATATAATGCATTGAGTTATTGAAATGACATTTTATGAAAAGCAATGGATGCCAGAAAACAGTAGAAAGCCATCTTTAAAGTGCATCTGGAGCATTCATCAACATGGTCACTTGCTAAGACATAAAACAAGTCTCATGAAATATCAAGAATATCGAAATTTTAGAGTATGTTTCCTGACCACAATGGAATTAAAATAGAAAGAATTAAATTGTCTTTATTTCCAGATGATGTGATTGTTCATTCAGAAACATCAAAAAAAATAACCTAGTAGCCACAAAAATTTATTGCTGTTTACTGGCAAATAATTAGAAAATGAGAATTTTAAATATTATTTACAATAGCATTAAAAATATAAACTATTGCCCTGGCCAGTTTGGCTCAGTAGATAGAGCGTCGGCCTGCAGATGCAAGGGTCCCAGGTTTGATTCCGGTTAAGGGCATGTACCTTGGTTGCAGGCACATCCCCAGTAGGAGGTGTGCAGAGGGCAGCTGACTGATGTTTCTCGCATCAATGTTTCTGACTCTCTCTCCCTCTCTCTTCCTCTCTGTAAAAAATCAATAAAATATATTTTAAAAAAATATATATACATACTATTTAAGAGTAAATTTTCAAAAATAGTGTAAGACTTTGACAGTGATAAATACAAAATATTGATAAGAGATATTAAAGAAAATCTAGGTCCTGGCCAGGTGGCCTATTTGGTTGGAGCATTGTCCATGCACCAAGGGTTGTGATCTATTCCTGGTCAGGGCACAAACTTAGATTGCAGGTTCCAGCCCTAGTTGAGGTATGCACAGGAGACAATTGATGTTTCTCTCTCACATCAATGTTTCTCTCTCTCCCTTCCTTCCTCTCTAAAATCAATACAAAAACATATCCTTGAGTGGAGATTTTTTTCTAAATCTAGATAAGTGGGAACTCATATCATGATCATCAATTGGAAGACACAATCTTGTTAAGATTAGTAGTCTTCCAAAAAATGACCTGTAAATTCAATACAATTTCAACCAATATCCTAACAGACTTTTTCTAGAAATTGACAAGTTGACTCTAAATTTTTTCTGGAAATGCAAAAGACCTAGAGTAACAATCTTTGAAAAGAAAAACAAAGCTGCTCTGGCTGGTGTGTCTCAGTTAGTTGGACATTGTCCTGTGCACAAAAGGCTGCCAGTTCCATTCCTGGTTGCAGGCTTGATCCCTGAAGGGAGTGTGCAATAGGCAGCAGCTGATCCATGTTCTGCTCTCACTTTTTTTTTTGGGGGGGGGGGAGGGGGTAAGGGAAGTGGGGGACAAAAATTGAAACCTTGATTCTTTTTATCCTATCCAATAAAGAGGTAATATGCAAATGGACCATAATTCCAACACATAAGATGGCTGTCCTGTATAGTCAAAGATGGCCGCCTGCTTGTGGACACAAGATAGCTGCCACAAGATGGCCAGCAGGGGAGGGCAATTAGGGGTGACCAGGCTGGCAAGGGAGGGCAGTTAGGGGTGACTGGGTCAGCAGGAGGATAGTTAGGGGTGACCAGGTCTATAGGGGAGGGCAGTTAGGGGTGACTGGGCCTACAGGGAAGGGCAGTTAGGGGTGACCAAACCAGCAAGGGACGGCAGTTGGGAGCAACCAGGCCTATAGGGGAAGGCAGTTAGGGGCAATCAGGCCAGCAGAGGAGGACAGTTAGGGGTGACTGGGTCAGCAGGGGAGAGCAGTTGGGAGTGACCAGGCCTGCAGGGGAGGACAGTTAGGGGTGATTGGGCCAGCAGGGAAGGGCAGTTAGGGTTTCTAGGCT